GGCTGCCCTAGGTGATCCTGCTCTGGCAGGGGGGCTGGACTAGATGATCTTTCGAGGTCCCTTCCAACCCCTGACATTCTGTGGTGATGAGTTATAGTTGTAAACCACTCTGCAGAGTTTTGACAGCAGTAAAAAGAACTGTCTTTTATTCTAGTGAGCATAAAAAAGGTGCCAGAACTGTTTGGTGTTTTGTAGTAGGAGGGGTCTTGAATGATCCAGTTAATCCTAGGTCTCTGAGATTGGTATTGATGGAGAGTAGAGGCAGCCAGTGTCTTCTGAACCTGGGTGTAATAGTTGGAAAAAGCACTGCTGTCATACTCTGGTCATCACCCACCACCTTAACTGGTGAGAGGGATTTGGTGGCTGTTGGTCAGCCTCAGCAGCTCTACAGTCAGTCAGGGCGGACAGCCTCTTGTGCAGGCAGCACTAGGGTCAAGGGAGCACATTCTGTTCTTGTGGAGCTGCAGAGGCAAAAGCTATCCTGACACAGGCAGACTCTAGAACTGGAGAGGGGAAAAGTAGTTCTCTTTTAACTTCTCCACACTGAGCCAGAGCCTGTGTCCTAAAAGGGGCATTTTTAAAGGGCCCAAGTGATTTATAAGTTGAAATCCCATGGTGCTCCTAAACCATGTCAGCTACTCTTGGAATTCCCAGTTGATCTTTATTTATTTGCTCTTTGTACTGGCTGCACAGTGCCTTGTGCACAGATGTTATATAACTGCTGAATTTATAAACATAGGCTTACTGCAGAGTGTTTAGAGCTCATTGAGTAGAAAGTAAGTTTGGAGTTGGGCAGACAACAAGTTCTGTCTAACTTTAGCTCCGATAAGCATCGTGTGGAAATCTTTTCCATCGTGGTTCTCAAGGTACTTTAAACAAACCATATGTCAGACATAGAGCTAACTTTTTTCTTTCTTTAAAAAATAACAGCTTGTTATTTTACATTAGTTGTTGAACACACTCTCCAAGGTCAGCTGGGTGGAAAATATTTCCACTGCGTGTTTTCAAAATAAATCTTTCTGTGACCAGCATGAAATTTGGTGCTGAAGTTTGAGGACCTTGGAGTTCACTATGTGGTGCTACCCCATAGAATTACCCACTTTGCCTATCTAGTTGGTATTAGTAGTTCTCAAGAACTGTGGTCACAAGGAGAGCCATGTTGTGGCTTGCCTGTGAGAGGGTATACAACACGTATTTGATCCTGTTCTGAAGAGGGGTTGTTGTGTAGGCCAGGGCTGTGTGTGAGATGGCCTTAAGTGATGGAGAATCTTCTGCAGGCAGAGGAGTTTTATCTTTGCATGTTCCCTTGGGGTGTGACAGAAACCGTCCATTTCCTGGTGCTTACTCAGCACTCTTGCATCTCGCCTGAAGAGCGGCGGGAGGCGTGGAGTTGCCACAGGCACAAGGCATAGATGAGGTATCTTGCTGGACTCTCTTTCTCCGGCCCTGTTCTTGCTGCTTCTTTCAGCGTTTTTATTTTGGCAGTTGGCTGGTGGCCTTGCCCAGTGCCTGGAAGTAGGGAGAGGCAGAGCTGTGCCTGTGTGAGCTCTGGTGATGCGAGAAGTATCCCATGCTACCAAACGAGGGGTGTCAGCTCCCACTAGGAGGATGACGGAGGTGTTCTGTGTGACGCCAAGCTTAAACTTGATGCGCTGTGGTGAGGAGCGGCGTAGGAAAGGGTACAGTAATTGCTGGTATTGAAATAACTTGTAAAACCGCTCACTGAAAAGATCTGGTACTGCAGTTCAGTGATGCCGTTGCATGGGTCACGCAGCCGTGGGCTGGTTAGGAGGCGGCGCTGGGAGGTGGAGACCCTGCCATTGCCTGGCCCATAAGTAGCAGAGCTGGGTATGAAACTGCCAGGCATGAAATGGAGGTAGGAGTTCTGGCAGCTGAGGAAAAGATGAGAGAATCAACCCAGCTGCTGGGGCGAGGACATAAATAATGTGTGATTTTTACATAAATATGTCAAATTTTATATATATATATATTTGAGTTGTTGGTGGGTGGTGATGTGGGATGAAATCAGTGGACCAAATATATATACTTGTCAGTAAGACTACAGCCACTTCCTAAATAGGAGCATTTGTTTTTCAGAAACCTCCTCTTGACATTCAGTGTGTATTACAAGAAGATATATGACTGTTGGTGCTAAACTCAGAACCACAATACATTTGTGCTTTAGCTGGTGAAATACAACTGAGCTGCTATTGTATTCCATTACTGGTGAATGGACTAGAAATAGCACAGGAGATATTCTGGAGATTTTACATCAAGTCATTTCTAGCCATCTGTGGGTAGAAGTGGCACAAGCTCTTCAAAACACACAACCCTTGAGTGAGAAACTAAATCCTGACAGCAGAATGCTAGGAAAGATAAATGTTAGATTCAAGGAGGTGTTTTCTTTTTGCTTGGTTACTGTTCATTGCTGGATTTTGTTTGTCCCAGAAGGGCATAGGGGTACAGTTCGGTACTTTGCTTGGAACGTGCCTTACCAGCAGAATCACTCATGCCTGCAGGGTAACAACTGGTGTGGCTAATGGCTTATTTGTGTATTATTCTCGTCTCCATTCTGTTACAGAAGCTCTTTAGTGCAGATGGGCTTTTTCTGTCTGTGCTGGTCTTTCTTTCAGGCACAGGCTTGTCAAGCACCTAGAAAAGGTTTTGAAGAGGAGAATTTTCACTCTTCTTAGTCTTTATACTTAACTTTCCTGAAACAGTGAGATGTGTGATGTCTTTACAGAATTTAGAATCATAGAACGGCCTAGGCTGGAAGGGACCTTAGAGATCATCTAGTCCAACCTCCCTGTCATGGGCAGGGACGCCACCTCTCGACTAGACCAGGCAACACATGGGGACCGAGCGGGAATCGAACCCGTGACCTCGGTGTTGTCATTGTTGCCAGCACCGCGCTCAAACCACTGAGCTAATCGGCCCCCATAGCGTGATCTAGCAGGCAGAATCATCTCGGTCTCACGTAAATGAGACAGACCATATTCTTTACCTGAGCTGAAATGAATTCTTGTTCAGAGTGATTGGCAGAATGCCTTCATTAGCCGAAGGAGCCTTCATTGTGCAGTGAAGTAATAGTTTGTAGGGGTAGATCTAGAAATTGTTGTTGAATAAAAGTTTTGGTAAGCATTATAGTGCTGTTATATACTCTGTGACATGTGAATGCAATGCACTGGATATTTTTCTTTTGTTTTTTACCCTTTTCCCACACAGAGTGTGTAGTGGCATGTCACAAGTTTGTTGAAGTCAACGCCCTGGGTCTAACAGTAGCTGCCCTTAGCAGCTATGATTCCAACATGAGAGCAGTTGCCTATTTTGTCCTCGCTTCTTTTCGTTCTCATCTGGAAGGAGCTCGCTTTCGAGAGAAGACTCAGGTAAGACCAAGCTCAAATGACAGTTTGCCTGGTTAGACATTTCATGTCATGGACACTTATGGAACTCTTGCGGGTAAAGTTGCTGCTTTACTCACCCATCTACATGCTCTAAAAGAAGCTCTTTATCCTCTTTCATTATCTTTCCTCTATTACTTTGTGTTATTTTCCTGTTGTAATCAACAGGCAGAAAAGGGGGGAAAGTGCGTTTTAGAAATTTGTAGCAATTTTACCTGTAGGAATGGAAATCCTGATGGGGTTGGTATTTGATTTGCGGCCTCTGAAATGTCCTAGAAGCTTCTCTAGGTAGTCACGCTCTCCTGTTGTATTTGTCTGGGTTATGGTTCAAGCTTTTCTCCCCTGGGGTCTTGTGCTGCAGTTGCTGTATCTCCTGGATGCCGTGCAAAATGGAATCAGGCAGCCAAACCTCAGATTTACCTTCTCTTTGACCCTCTACATCGCTCGTGTGGCACAGCAGATTCTGAAGCCAGGTACTGTAACCCCCTGTGCGTGCTGAGCTCCCAGCGCTGAGTCACTGTATGTGGCCGATACTGGAAGATGAGATAACTGTGGTGCTGGTAGGAGCCATGGAGTGTGCTTTCCTGTGTTTCAAAGAAAAACTTTGAGTGCTTGTGAGGACTGCCTTGCCAGAGAAGTGAGAAGCGCCATTTCAATTTGTGTTCAAAACCAGTCTGATCCATCAGGGATGAGGCCGTTACCTCCTTGTAATTTTGAGGTGGAGGCGGGCAGAGGTCTAGCTGAGTGAAGCTAGGTGAGCGTGCAAGTCCTGTTCGGTAAACCCAAGTAGGTTGTTCGCAGTGTGCTTTTGTCCTTAGACACTGACTAAATCAATGCAAGTCACTTTTGCGAAAGAGAATCATAGTGTTGGGGAGTAGTTTGGTTTGGAGGGGACTTGGTGAGGCCTTTGGCTAAACGCTCTGCCTGAAGCGGAGCCAGCTATGAGGGCCGGCCACTTTGCGCAGGGCTTTATCCTAAAAAACCTCCGTGCCTCTAGACTGGTCCTCCAGTGATGGAGACCGCATAGTCCTTCTGGGCAACTTGTTCCAGTGCTTGTGGGCGACGTGTCTGGTCTGTTGCTTAAAATTTAGGATTGCCTAACATAAAGGCTTGAAAAGTGAAGAGATTTGCCTGCAGACTTCTGTTTTGTCAATGAAGTAACATTGGATTTACTGAAATTGGAGCTATGTTGAATGCTGATCTTCTCACCTGGTTTGTGCACACTGTGAATGAGATTTTCATTCTGGGGAGGAAAAGTGGAGGCATGGCCAACAATACAATCAGCCTTAGAGCTGTTCTAACAGCTAGCTGAAACACTGGAAAACACAGGTTCCATTTATTTTTCTGCGTGATTGGGTATTGCGAATGTTGTCCTTCCTCTGCAATAACCATCATGTCTCTTCACAGAGGAGCACATGTATATAAAGGTAAACAGATTCCTTCTGTCGCACCAGTATTTGGACCTGAGGAAAGTACCTGGGTTTTTCCAGCTTTTCTACAGCTTTGATTTTGAGGTAATGCAAGAATCCCACCCTAAGTACCTAATAGTTCTTCAGAAAATAATAGAAAAAAAGGGATAAAAAGGCAATGAAATCGTGTTCTTCTATAGGCAGTTAATTAGAGGTGTCTTTGTTTTGTTTTATATTGGAATTATAAATATTATTTCTGACTTTCTTTTTTTGTTTTCTTAACGGTAACACATAATGAAATCATGAGTTGTGCTGTGCGTGCTCTGTAAGCGCAGCAAACAGAATGTTCTGCCACAGCTCGCTTAGATTCACATTGGAGTTTAGATTGTTAACATTGAGTTCAACTAAGGTGTTTTAGAAACAGCAACTTTTGAAGTTCATATTTGGGCATATTTGGGCTGCAGAATAACTGTTCCTGATGGATGTTATAGATTAAATTTGGTAAAGATGAAAATTGAGAAGTCCAGAACAAGCTGTTAATCACTGCACTGGCACTCCCAGAGAACCAGGTTTTTTGTGCTCTTATGAGCAGGCATTATTTTGAAATGTCCGATGATGGTATTTTTCTTATGGCTTCTAGTACAAAACAGAACGTGAGTGGATTCTCAGACTTCTTGGAGAAGGGCTGCGTGATAAACATTGCTATGAGCTTTATGACTACCAGAGGATTTTCCAGGTCATTCTTTCCTTTTTCAACAGTCCTTTGTGTGATGAGGGCTCCCAGGTAAGGATTTAACCCAAACAGAAACCAAAATGCAAACAAAGAAACAAAAAGCACACCACAAACCCACCCAAAACCCTCCAAACCACAAAAGTTTGCATGATTTGGAGATCTTAAATACAAAGCAGAAAGGTGTATTTTACTCTTCCCTTGCCCCTTGAAAATCTGTTCCTTGTTGATTTTCTGCATGTGTGGAGGGGAAAATAATTGCTGCTTTGTGAAAAATACTGCAGATACTGCAATTTGACTCATACAGTCAGGGTCTTCGCTTTTTTAGGTCTCCTCACTCCCTAACTGGTGAGTTTCCTGGACAGTGCTTTGGCAGGAAGAAAACTGACATGCCAGAAGCATTTGTTTTCATAAGCATCTACCCAGAGAAATCCAGTCTGCTAAAAGTATCTCAGTCAGGTGTCAAAATCTTGGACTAAATGAGAAAATTGTTGTGCTGTCTTAAGACTTCTTTTTAAGAGTAGCGTCTGTGTATATGAAGCCTTGAAAAGAGAATGTCTTTTCTTCCCTGCTAAGAACATGTGGCATTCAGTGATACGTTTTAAATTTAAGCTGATCATATCGCAGTCAGACTGCTAATTATATCCTTTTGAAAGATTGATAATAATTAGATCCTGACTATATTCTAATTTTGTAAAAGAACAAATTATATTTTCTGTTTCAGAGTCGTATTCTGGAGATATTGCAAAATGCTGCCCGTGTCACCAGGGCTGCCTATGAGCTGATACAAGATCACAGCCTCCTAACCTGGATAGTGCACATCCTAGAGAAAAGGTAACTAGGGAATTAGTGCTGAGAAGAGAACGATTTTACGACCAGAGTAGTATAATTATGCAGGATTGTGATGCCAGCTCTCGCTTCAGGTGACAGATACAGAGATGACCCGTCAGCTCTTGTGAAATTTGGCACCTAGAGCCACACTGGCAGAACTTGCCGAACTCTGAAGCATTCCCCTGTGTTTCTAAAAACAAAATCAAGATGTTTTCAGGTTGTGGTAGGAGGGATGACGGGGGAGGTGCGTGGGGATTTGTGTTTTTGATAACGCTTTTTTGAAAAACTTAAAAAACAACGGGGCACCTTATGTTAGCATATGTGACTCTTTTCAAATACCCCATGTCCATCCCTGGACGTGTTTAAAAAATGGCTGGACGTGGCACTTCAGGAGATAGTTTAGTGTTAGGGTGGTGTAGGGCTGTAGGCTGGACTTGATGATCTTAGGGTTCTTTCCTGCTTTTATGATTCTATGATTAACATTGTGTCACAGGACTTCCTGCACAGTAATGGGCGCAGTAATGAATTTTAGCCGTCTGTAACATTTCTCTTCCCACTTCCTCCTCCTCCCCTTGTCTCCCCATCACGTACATGTGTGTACACACACAAAATCTTAGATGTAGATTCCCCTGGCAGGTTCAAGCAAAGTTTCAGGATCATCTACAGCACATTTGGCCCAAACAGGTTCCTGGTACTGCTCTCCTGTTATACACGTCTCTCTTGTACAGTTTGGTGCGCTTGGAAATGAAAAAGCCTGGATTTGGCCTCTGGCACCCAACACTTAAGTTGTGACTGTACTTCTGAGAAGTATTTTTCTTACATCCTCTGTACAAAAATGAGATTGCCCCGCCCCTAGAATAACAAAGTAAACGTGGCTCCTGATAACTGTGCTGTAAGCATTGCTGTTACTACTTGAAGTTTCAGGACCACGAGGAGCCAAGCTGTCTCGAGCAGTGACTGCTCTAAAGAAATGGCAGCAGCGGTTGCCATGATACTTGGCAGGGCTGTGCAATGAAAGATGCAAGTCAGAAATCACCAGTCCTGTGGTGAGGACCCTGGTTCACCCCTCTGTGTTTCCCCGGCTGGACAGGAGGAGGGCAGCGGGCAGGGGATGGGGGGCAGTGCCATTCACAGCTCCAAAAACGTGCTAGGATGTGGTCCCCCTCTAGGTGAGGGACTGGTTCCTGGTTAGAATGTGCAGTCCAAATGGGTGTTTGTTTCTTTGTTTTTTCAGGTTTCTGGAAAACAAGCTGTTAAATAGAATTATTTCCTTACTCCATACTCTGTGGCTAACAAATTTAGGGGACAAGAGAGAAAGCAAGAATCAGTCCCCGGAGAACAGGAAGTTTCTTCCTATTCAGCTTGTAAATGAATTTCTCTATGTTTTGATCACATTAATTAAACACATACGGTACGTCTTTTCTTTTTAATCATTTTGCACCTCATCCTCTATCCAGTGTGAAATTTATCTGGTAGTTTAATGTGATTTTTTTCGCCTTCAGTTGGAACGTTGAGTAGTGAATTTTGATGAGATTTCTTTGACAGGAAGTTTTAGCTGTTTAAATACACAGGGAATATAATAACAGCTGGTGCACAGTTACTGTCAAGTTCTACATCCTTCATTATTGGCCATTTTAAGCTGCTATGTTTTACATTTTTCCTGCTGGATTAGAGCCTGCAGTTAGTGATGCTATTTGCCACAGGGGTCTTTTATACTCATGGAACATTTAGACTTTCTTTGTCTGTGCTACACCTGCAAATTGTACAAGGAGAAGCCATGCAAAGTTCTACACAGCCTGGAGAAACTGTATTTATTTCCTGAAAATTCATGCAAAACAGAGGTGTAGATAAAGCTCCAGACCTCTGGCCTTTTCCTTGTGTGCCACCTGCCTTTGCTGTTTACAGGCAGGAGGGCAAAGACTGTGTTTCGTGGTCTGTTCTGCCAAACGCTGACAGAGCAAAGCCCGTGGGGTACAGAAGGAATAAAATTAAGATTTTTAATGGTATCCTGAGAAGCAAAAGTATCTGTCTGGAGAACTGCAGGAGAAAACCATAGGAAGAGAGCGTAAGGAGAAGAAACTGCTACTTATTTTATTCTATTAATTAGCACACAGAAAAATACGCGGCACTTTTGTTTTGTTTTCATAGGACTAATTTAGATCTAGCCAAGCTCGCTCAGTTTTTCGGTACCCTCCGTTCTGTGCTGGAGTATCGTGCCATACTTGCTGAGGCCTTCAAAGAAATGAGCCGGTTCACCGTGAACAACAGCGTTCTCTCCAGCAAAGAGATTCTGCTGCTGCTGCATAAGTGGAGTGTCATTGAAAAAGACCCGCAACTGCAAGAGGATGTGCAGACTCTTGCTCAGAAATTCCAAGTCAAAGAATTGCGTAGTAAGTACTAAAATATTTCGGAAAACTAAGTGAGGCAAACCTCATAGGAGTAGTAGTAATAACTTTTGTCAGATGATCTGATACAGCTTTGGGGGAGGAGGAATGGAAACAGAAAGCCATTTTTCAGGTCTTCGTTGTAGTGATTTCCAAATTTAGCACAAATCTGGAACCTTTGGAGTAACACAGTTTTAAAAAGAGAAGGAGCTTTAAAATGAAATTTAGTTGCAGACCTAGTGTCAGGCTTTCACAAATTATATTCTTGAATGTAATCTATAAAAACAGAGCTCAGAGGCTTTGTGCTCAAAGATTTGAATCAGAGTTCTGAGTGTGGATGGGGGATCTGAAAGTGAAATATGAAGAAAAATCAGTACAGCAAGTGAAAATTAAATAATTAGTTTTTCTTACTGTCATCAGTGTTGGAAGAAAGCAAAAATATGTTTGGACTTTTATGTCTTCTCGTCATCTTTGTGAATAAAATGTACAAGTCAGGGGCATAAAAAAATGGTGGTTTCCTGCAAATACAGCAGCTGTTCTTGGTGCAGATTAAAACTTCTATTGGTTTCTTTAAATGTTTTGTATGAGTTAAACTAATTATTAAAGTATCTCTATATTTAATGGATACTACAAGAGCTTTAGCTTTTTTTGTAAGGTTTTCCACACTTTCCCTGGTGTCCTTCTGAGGATTTTTAGAGAGTTATTATAGTGACATCTGTAGCTTACTGTATGTGTGGCTTTAAAGAAAAATCTGTTCCTCCAAGCTTCAGGAGATTATAAGTAGTTGCAAAACCAGATCCTTATCTGAAATTTTGTTTCAGACGTTACATTTCTCAGTCCCCCAGGAAAAAAATGCCAAACTGCACTCAGTACGTTTTGCTGCACAGTGCAGCATAGTTAAAATTTCTCGTTATTTTCTCCATGCCTCCTTGAAAGCAGATTGCCTTAAAATGCTCTGTGTGGTGCGGTGGTGGCAAAGTGCCATTGCCATTTGGGAGCTTTGCTGCTCCCCATGACAACAGGCAGCATCTAAGGAGGGGCAGCCCTGCATGCAGAGTTCAGCCCCTCGACTCTGCCCTGCAGGCATGAAAAGTTCATGTGCCCCTGATCGACCAGCAGCTCCAGCATTTCTCACGAAGTGTCATAAATACTGTAGCCTCACTGGCAAAGCCGTGTCTCCCGGGCGTCTGAAATACTGCCTTGGCTTCGCTGGGCTGTGGGGGGAGCCTGGCTGGTGTTATTGCTCCCCTCAAAGTTAGGTGATACAGTTCGGGGAAGCGTTTCAGCCCGCCAGTCACGGGGAGAGCTGCCTGTGGCCTGTGTGCTCTGAGTTGCGTAGGCTCAGTTAGGCTGCTAAATGAGGCTAGTACTTACCCTTTTGGTGACTGAAACAACATGCAATACCAGCTTTCTTGCGTGGTTTTGTACCAAGAAAACCCTTTGGAGGAGGATCTGATGTTTGTTTCGGTGGTGTTTTTCCTTCTCACAGAGAATATTAAAGAAAAGAACAGATCTCAAGCCTCGTCTCACACGCGTCGTCCCATTCAGAAAAAGAACGAGCTAGAAAGAGATGACGATGCTGCGGCAGACCTGAAGGCCTGTGAGCTGGAGAAATGCAGAGACCATCTGAATTCCATCTTTGCCCATTGGGAACCTGTTTTCCCAGCGCCGCCTGCCAAACACCAAGGAGAGCCGCTCACATCTGCTGACCTCGCGGACGAAGCAGCCGGTTTAACGTGTGCATCCACTTACTTAGTAATTAAATGGCTCCTGAAGTCCACGGTTGAGCACGGCCTCAATACGCAAAATGTTCCGTTAACTCTGCGGTGGCTGCAGAGCTGCATCTTGCCGCACCCAGTGGTGGTGCAGGAGATGCTCAGGGATGAGATGCTGAGGAACAACATCTTCAAGTTTTACACGCAGGTCTGTGAGGCCAGCAGCAGGACCGCTGGACTCTTGAAAGAGCTCTGCTTGTTCAGTTCAATCATGCTTCACCTGATGGATGCTCAGGGCCTGCCCAAAAACAGCTTTCACGAACGTGTGAAGATGTTGTGCCTGTCAGCAATGACGGAGGAAGACGCGAACAAGAAAGGTAACTTGTCTTTTTCCTTTTTGCTTGTGTTACAGGGCGGTAACAGTAGGAGGTAGGTGGTCCCAGCTTTTTCATTGAATTCGTCAAAATGCTCACAATTCATCAAAGTGCTCACAACTTCACAAAGTAAAAGATCAGTCTTTGGGGGTATGGGTACGGGGGTTAGTAGCATAGGATAGTGTCACACTGCCAGGATTTGTGATATTACAGGAGTCATCCTACCTCAGAGAAACTTCCCTTTCTAGGACTAAAGTGGAGTTCAGTGAGGTATAAAACTTATAACTCCAAGGGGAAAAATACACTGCAACAAATGAGTCCATGTGGGTATGGGTTGTGATCCATATGCTGTTCAGTGTTACCATTCAATAGAAAAAGCTATAGGTCAGATTTCAAACTTTTTTATTTAAAGATGCCAGAAGGTTGTGTGAACAGGAAACTATTTTTTTCCCTTCATGTGAGGAGGAGGATCATTGGCTTTGCGTGGGCAAAAACTCCACAAATTTTCCCTTTAGGGAACGAGTTAGGAAACTATTTTAAAACGTGGGTCTGGAGGTAAAATGGTTTGATTTTTTATTACTGTGTGGAAATGGAAGAATACCTGTTCTGATTTTTCTCTAATTTTTCTTCCACAGCTGTTTGTGTATTCCTGACTTCTGTTTACATTGGGGACATATGGCTTGGAGCACAGGAGCCAGATATGTTAATAACCCACGCCAGATTGATCTGCAGTAGTACAGATGATAAATTAAACGATGACAACTTGGAAACTCATAAACAAGGAGAAGAAACTATTATGGCTCTTTGTAAAACCCTTTACTTGGCTACATTGGGGCATTAATTCAGTGAACTGACACTTAATCTTTAATGTTATGTACTCTGCCATCATTGCTGTGAGCCGTGAAGTCCTCCTGAACTGTTCTCCATACAAATCTAACTTGTTTTGCCATAAAGATCAATATTTTATTACTGCGTGCAAACTCAGAGGGAGAAAATGGTATTCATCATCGCTCAGTGGAACATTAAAGCTATAATTTCCCTTTTCTTGAACAGTATGAGACACTGAATGTTATTTATATCCTTTTTATTACAGGCATTTTTAGCTGTATGAAGAACCAAAAAGGACTGATTAGTGCATTGCCTCTGGACGGTATTTCAGTCCTCACGTAGTTAAAACCCATCGTCTCTCCAATATAAGATGGGGAAATGTTGCCTATCGAGGCGTAACGACCTGGTTCAAGGAACAATAAGGCGACCGACTCCGGGTCACTCGGGCCATCAGCACACTGACACCAATGTGGTGGATGGCAAAATGGCGTTTATTAGTATGCAACACAGTGTTATATAGCCTTGATTTACAACGTAACTTCCGTCTGCTTACGTTAGAAGCTATAGGGAGGAGATTCCTTATCTTTCCGTACAACGCGAGATCTTGCGGCCGCCGGGCCCTTGCTACCAACAGGGAAAAAAGACTGCAGAACTTCACCACAGTAAGAACCACCACAAAGAACGAGTAGTCAGAGGTTTAGCCATGATGATTTTACTATTTCTTGAAGAACTCAGTTTGTTTCATGATATATGATCCCAAAACCAGTATGAATAGAAGACTGGAGTCGTGATGGCCTGAGATTCTTCTTGGTTTTAAACTAAATAGCTTTTGAAAGCATTTATATCAGAGCTGGTCTGTTTTCAGTCTCCTTTCTGTTGTTTTTGTCTGTTTTGGTTGTTTTTTTTTGTTAAAAAAAGCCCTGACCATCACTGCTGCTGGGACTTGCAACAAAGGCCCATCTTCTCTCCACTCCAAAAAGATGAGAGATGGAACTAAAACCCAAATGATTTGCTGCTCATTGATTATACATGTTTTTTATTGGAAATTCTCTGTGAAATCAGATAAATATTTCTTGAATGTGGCCTCAAGGGCAGTTTAACATACCATTCCAGATATGCAAACATACAGAGCTTGAATTTGAACCTTTGAAATGTAAAACAGGATTTATTAAATTGACTCATGAATATGTGCTGTGCCTAGGTACTTTGTACGGATTCTGTACAGGGAAAAAATGAAATGCACGCTCCTTGTGATGTTTATTTAATTGGGAGGGGGGAATTTTTAATAAAAAAAATGAGATGCAAATTACATATCAGTGTTCTTGTCCTAAAGAAGCCATAATATCTCTATCAAGGTTTGGTTTAAAAACAAGAAATATTTGTTGAAAAGCTGCAAGACCATTAGAAGCTGAATTTTGTGTCACATGAGATCCCTGGGATCTGACATCAGGAAATCTTTGCAATGAAAAAATCTTATTTTACTTAATCTAAGAAAACCCCAAAACCAAACCCAAGCAAAATGACATTAAAGTAAATGCGTTTCAGTCTCATCTAACTGGAAAATAAAATACTGCTGACACATAAGGAAGGAATTTTTTGGTTGTCTTGAGGGACTGAGCACATCTAAGAGTGGTTTATAGTATGATTTGCTTGAGCAAATTAAATGAGGTAAGACCATTCAGCCACCCTAAGGACAGTAACACAGAAACTTATTTTCTCTACCTAAATAAATATTAACTGGCTATACATGAAATTAATTTTCCCCAAATCAAGTCTGTTTTGCCCATGATGGTGACTGGTACGCAATCTCCTTGTCTTAATCCCGAGACATGATCTTTTTGAGCCCATTTTCCCCCTTGGCCTTCTGAGGAGGGGTTAGAGAGCAGGGGGATGGACATCTCACAGCCAGCCAAGGCCAACCCACCTCAGTATGTGGTGTGGTGTAGCCCCTTCCAATCCCTTCACAAAGTAACTGTGGTGGTTTGGCCCTGACTGGAGGCCAGGAGCTCCCCAAATCACTCCGTTTTTCAGATGGACAGGGGAGAGGGAAGATATAACGAGAGGCCCATAGGTAAAGATAAAAGCAGTGTAATATAGCAATAGCAAAGACCATGCATGGAAGTAAAGCCGAACAAAGATTATTTTCTACTTTTCATCAGTGGGCGATGTCCGGCCACTTTCCCAGGAAGCAGGGCTCCAGTACGCGTAGCGGTTGCTCCGGAGCACAAACACAAATAGCAAATGCCCCCCACTTTCCTCTTCCTTCTCGCTTTTATATCTGAGCTGCCATCATATGGTATGGAATACCCCTTTGGTCAGTTTGGGTCAGCTGGCCCGGCTGTGTCCCCTCCCAAGATGTTGCCCACCCCCAGCCTGCTGTTGGGGGAACATTGGAAAACCACAGCCTTGGTGCTCTGTGAGCTATCAACACCCTCTAACTACTACTCCCAAAACACAGCACTGAGAGAGCTGCTGTGGGAAGATTAACTCCACCTCAGCCTGACCCAATACAGTAGCAAAACCCAAATCCTAAATGCCACAATCCAGCTGGTTCAGCACTCCAACCAACTGCAAGCCCAGAATATTTTTTGGGTGTGTGCACTTGCATGCCTTGCAGTAACCTTTCACATGCCCTTTAGCTGTGTTTGCTTAAAAAAATAAATTGTGTAACTGTGGTGCCTGCAGGAGCAGAATTCACGTGTTGAAGCTCAGGCAGTTGGAAGAGTGATTCTTGACTGAGCTCTGATTCTAGAATGAGGTACAGGTCTGCGTGTGCTTCCCTTACAGTGGCGCATGTAAATCATGACCCAGCTGCACATGAATTCACCCTTAAGATTCATCCTCAGATGATGGTTTTTCTGGTAGCCTGAAGTATTTAGAAAGGCCCAGCACTGAGTACTTTTCTCCCCAGATTGTGATGGTCTGTTGGTGTCTCCAATGTTGGTATCTCCGATCCTACTATTATCAAAATACTTGAGGTTAGAGGGGAGGATTGTTCATACGCATTTCTTTTTATTTTAAATGATAGTTTTGGAAGTGAAAAGAGAAAATGAATGCAAATGAACTGACAAAGCTACTAGCTTGTCATGTGAAAGATGCATAGCTCATATGTGCTTATCAGTGAAGTGAATGTAGCTGTGCATGTGGGAGCTTTTAAAAATAAGGCTTAATCTCTCACTGCCTCTGAGCCTTAATATATTCTAGTAATATGGCAATTAAAAGATTATTAAGAAGTCCTCCTCGAAATAATGGTCAAGTGGTTTTAAAAGCTGTAGATGCTTAGCAGTTGAGTGATTTGTGCACGTGAATTACTACCAACATATTCAAAATGCATTTTAATAAATCATATAGATGGAGAGTCATTATTTTAAGAAATTAAGCTTGATTAAAATAAATTGTGGAGAGAATTTGGAAGTGGAAAACTTGCTCATATACGGGCCTACGTTTAAAACGAGAAGTTTCTACAGTTCAACACAAGTTACTCACTTCGATGCTGTTGTGAGAACTGTGTGGATGAAGATCAAGAGTGCTCTGCAACAGGCCCAGCGGTCTAGGCTGCCCTCCCAGAAGTTAAGCCTTTTACTTAAAATTCATAAATAATCAGTGAGGTCAACATCCCAGAAGAACATCTTGCTTCCTGTTTTACCTGGAGTATAGACCATGTGCAGTTTGAATTGCAAGTGGGGCTCCTCAGGCCTTGAAATAGATACCTGCAATGTGCTGGGGGTGCCGGTGCTCAGAGGACATCTGACCACCTTAGCAGGAGAGGACTTCATGTAGCGTGAGTTGACTGGGTAGAATTTGGTCTGTTCAACCACGTAACATGTGACAGGACAAGAGGAAATCGCCTCAAATTGCACCAAGTGAAATTTGGATTGGGTATTGGGAAGAATTTCATTAATGAAAGGGTAATCAGGCATTGGAACAAGTTGCCCAGGAGAATGGTGGAGTCTCCATCCCTGGAGGTATTTAAGAGTTGGGTTGATGTGGTGCTTAGAGATGGTTTAGCCAAGGACTTGTCAGTTTTAAGCTAATGGTTGGACTCGATCTTAAAGGACTGTTAGAACTGGGCAATACTGTGTGTGAGTGATGTGGCTTGTGTGGGAGTAGTGGTGTGGGGTAACGTTTTCATACAAATCAACTCTGTCTTTGAACCAGCAGCATGAGCTCATTTGGGTCACGCTTTGTGGACGCATGGGTCCAGCATTTCGATCACCCACGAATGTGGCAGACCTCCCAGGGAAGGCCTCTGTTAATGGAGAACTCCAGGGGAGGGAGAAATAAAGTGCTCACTGTAGAGAGCAAAGCAGGAGAAGGCCCTTGAAATGAGTACGTGTGGAGACGTCACAGAAGAAAATGCACTTCCCCCACTCCCCTCCTCTCAAATTAGGTGCTATAAGATAGGCTTGCATTTTGCACATTATTTATTACCATTTATATATACTTCATACTATGTGCCTTCCATTTCTGGGTAATTCGAAGAGGAAAAAAGAGAAAGTCTTTTCAGTGGTTATGTACTTTGATTAATGTTCCAGTGCAATTAATGAAAGAACAGCAGTTGTTACAAATGGGAGTATTCACATCTTAGAGAAATCCCCTGGGAATCCATTTGTTGAGAAGAGGTCCTTGGGAAATAGGGTGATAGGAGTCTGTTGGGAGCACGGGAGGAGGACACCGGAGCAGACGGTGCCAGCAGGCAGCGTGGGGCTGTTGCGGGAGAGATGTTCTAGCTCAGGGCAGACGGACGTGGCAGGAATGATCGAAGTGCAGTTGCTGCATCCTTGAGAAGGAAAATGGGTCTCAGTGGTCGGGTCCGCTTCAGGCTGTCTTTGATGATGCCAGTGTGATTGCCGTGGGGTTCAAGGTAACTGTTGACAGTTTGCAGCGGGCGAGCTGGTGCCAGCAAAGGAGTTGGCTCATGTCTCCTTGTGAGAACTACCTCAGCTCTAGCAGAAGGAACATGGGTGTCTGAGGGGAGGGGAGGGCTGTTGTGTCTGAGTTGATCGATGGAAA